AAATATTAAAGTAGAGAGAAAACACTGAGAACTTTTCAAAATAGTTTTCAATGTTATTATAAGATTCATCAGCTGAAAAGGAAACTGGGCACATTTGCAGAAGTAAGGCAAATGTGTTTCAGAAAAAAACATGTATTATATAATAATACAACATGCATCTTCAAAATCAAGACTGGTGTTTCCTACAAGTTTTGGTCTACTTTGAGCAGGAATTAATTCAAGGAATTCAATGGCATGTGCAGTACAAGAAGTCAGAGTAGATGGCTTCGTAAGCTGTGAGGCTTGTCTATCTATAATTGAGCCATCCATTAATCAAGCTGGATTGAACACAAGGGCAGTTTCCCTGTTAATGCTTATTCATTCATAAAGTGAATACATTATTGATTATTATTTTTAAATACACTTACTTGTAGAAGTGCCTATAATTAAGAGTCCAGACCTTTGAGCTAGAGAACCATGAGATAAACTGAGCTGGGATACTAGGTGTAAATAGCAGCCCTTGCTCACACAATGTGGTTGTTGGTTAGTCAGTTAGGTGCTGCTGTTATTACTTCAATTGCAAACACTATTCCATGCCTGACATCCATAAATATGCAATGGGTTGTGATTAATATTTAGCCCAGTGGGAGAGGATGATGGACTATCTTTCAGTTGTTGAACCCATCTTCATTGCTCACTCTTTTCCTTGTAAAAAGGTGATGTTTTAACTAACACACATAATACTGCACCATAAGAATGCATCGATTTTGCAATGGCTCTGATTGTTTTGCTACGTTGTATTTTATCCCTTACACCACAGCATTTCCAGATCCTGATTCTCTGGGTGACTTTACAAGTCGCTGAGCTCATGCACTGGGCAAGATGCCTCCCAGACAAAACTGTGAATGGGCTAGGGCAGATATGGCTACACCTGCCTAGGGAGTTTGTCAGAGCACTTTTGCAAGAAAATTTCTTACTACAAATTTGCTTCTTCAGCATTCCTCTTTTCTTTCCATTTCACTGCTTTACTTTCTTGTGGAAATATTGCACCTCAAGTTCCAGTGTGTGTGTTTAGTCAAAAAGGAGCTTGCCAAAGATTTACCGTACAAATAATTTAACACAAAACTAAATAAACTGATACTAATAACAGAGATCACATCCTTTGGAGGCTTACATTACTCTACACTGCTCATGAATGGCAAGTGGCACTAGAAATCTTTTCACTCACTTCAATGCTTTACTCATAACTTTGACAGGAATGTTTTCTTGATGCTATATCCAAGGTCCAAGGTGTAGTACAACTGATAATTGTAGGCAAAACACTTGTTCACAAAACTGTGATTACAGAATCATAGAATTATGGAATCATAGAATGGTTTGGGTTGGAAGGTACCTGAAAGATCATCCAATTCAAACCTCCCACCCATCACCTCAGGCTGCCCACAGCCCCATCCAACCTGACCTTGAGCGCTTCCAGGGATGTCACATCCACAACCTCTCTGGGCAGCTGTGTCAATTCCTTACCATCACCTCAGTGATAGATCTTCCCCTGACATCCAATCTAAATTTCCTCTCTTTTAGTTTGAAACTATTTATAGAATCACAGAATTGCTCAGGTTGGAAAAGGCTTTAAAGATCATCAAGTCCAACCACAACCTAACCATACTACCTTAACTATAGCAACCCTCCGCTAAATCATGTCTCTGAGCACAACATCCAAACGGATTTTAAACACATCCAGGGATGGTGACTCAACCACCTCCCTGCGGAGCCTATTCCAGTGCTTAACAACCCTTTCTGTAAAGAAGTTTTTGCTGATAGCCAACCTAAATCTCCCCTGGTGCAACTTGAGCTCCCCTCGCCCTGTCACCTGTCACCAATGAGAAGAGACCAACCCAGCTCTTGCTGTTATCACCTTTCAGGTATTAGAAGAGAGCAATAAGGTCTCCCCTCAGCCTCCTCTTCCCCAGACTAAACAGCTGCCGTTCCTCCTTCCCAGTTGCTCCTCATATTCTCCAAGCCCTTCACATGCCTTGTTGCCCTACTTTGGACCTGCTCCAGCACCTCAGTGTCCTTCTCGTATTGAGGTTTCCAAAACTGAACACAGTACTCAAGATGAGGCCTCAACAGTGCTGAGTACAGGGCCAGGTTTACCTCTCTAGTCCTGCTCACCACACCATTCCTGATACAAGCCAGGATGCCACTGGTCTTCTTGGCCACCTGGGCACACCTCTGGCTCATATTCAGCTGACTGTCCATCAGTACACCAAGGTCCCTTTCCATCAGGTAGCTTTCTAGCCACTCCTCCCCAAGCCTGTAGGGTTGTCTGAGGTTGTTGTGACCAAAATGTAGGACCTCACGCTCGGTCCTATTGAAACTCATACAGTTTACCTTGGCCCACTGATTTAGTCTACCCAGATCCCTCTGTAATGACTTTCTCCACTCAGATCTCCATGGCAGATCGACACTCCCTCCCAACTTGATGTAATCGGCAAACTTGAGGGTGCACTCAGTCCCCTCATCAAGATTGTTAATAAAAATTTTAAATAGAAGTGGCCCCAGTACTGAGCCCTGGGAGACTCCACTTGTGACCAGCTGCCAACTGGATTTAACTCGATTGACCACAACTCTTTGGGCCCAACCATCCAGTCAGTGTTTCACCCAGCAGAGCCCATCCACACCCATCCAAACCATGGGCAGCCAGCTTCTCCATGAGAATGTGGGGGACAGTGTCAAAGGCTTTACTGCAGTCCAGGTATACCACATCAACAGCCTTACCTTCATTCATAGAATCATAGAATCACAGAATCATGAGGTTGGAACCGACCTATAAGATCATCTAGTCCCACCATCTTCTCATTACCACTGCTACCACAAGCTACTAAACCATATCTTGCAGCTCCTCTTGAACACTGCCAGGGACGGCGACTCCATCCTCCTGGGCAACCATTCCAGTGCCTGACCACTCTCTGAGAGAAAATGTTTTTCCTCATGTCTAACCTAAACCTCCTCTGGTACAACTTGCAGCAATTTCCCCAGTCCAGGCCACAGGCAGCCAGTTTCCCCAGAAGAAGCCTGTGAGAGACCGTGTCAAAGGTTTTGCTGAAGTCTAGATAGACTACATCAACAGCCTTTCCCTCATCTACCAGTCTGGTCACCCAGTCATAGAAGGAGATGTGGTTGGTCAAGCACGACCTGCTTTCATGAACCCGTGCTGGCTGGGCCTGATCCCCTGGACACCTTGCACATGCCGTGTGATCTCACCCAAAATCATTTGCTCCATTACTTTCCCTGGTACCAAGGTCAGGCTAACAGGCCTATAGTTCCCCGGATCCTCATTATGGCCCTTCTTGAAGATGGGAGTCACATCAGCAAGCCTCCAATTCTCTGGGACCTCTCCAGTTAACTAGGAGTGCTGATAGATGGCCGAGAGTGGCTCAGCAATCACCCCCGCCAGCTCCCTCAGCACCCGAGGGTGTAGCCCATAAGCCCACTAAGCAGGTCACCTTGTCACAGAATGAAATCAGGTTTGTGAAACAAGATCATAAACCAACCCGCGCTTACAGGGCCTGATCCCCTGGTTTACCATAAATTGATCCCCTGGTTTACCTTTAATTGATCCATGATGGCTCCTGAGAATATCTTCTCCGTGGCCTTCCCCGGCACTGAGGTGAGACTGATAGGTCTGTAGCTACCAGGATCATCTTTCTGTCCCTTTCTGAAGATAGGTGTCACATTTGCCAGTCTCCAGTCCAACAGGACATCTCCAGTTAGCCATGACTGTTGAAGGATGATGGAGAGTGGCTTGGCAACCACATCCACCAACTCCCTCAGCTCTCTAGGGTGCAATCCATCTGTGTGTGTCCAGCTTTCGGAGCAGGTCCAAAATCATCTCATCTTCATCCCTGTCCTATTACTTATCTATCCATGTAGAAAGTCGATTTCTCTCCTAGTTTTAAGCTCCCTTTAAGTACTGGAAGGCGACAATGAGGCTATCCCTCAGAACTGTCTTCATAGGAGAGCTGTAGACAGCATTACAACACTGCATTAGTACAGACTGTTTCTTGTCTGGCTGTTTTTTAATAATTTTAATAATAGGTTTAGTCTTTATAATTCTAAAATAGTAATTATTTTGAATAAATTTAGAGGTTGTTTTTATTATTATTATTTTTCTTTGTTTACTGTTAGAAGCTTTGTTATAATTTCAACATGGTTGTTGATGTAATATTCAGACTGTAGGACAGCAACAGGAACTTTTACTTGCTGCTTGATTTCTTTGTTATTGAGAGAATCCTAACACTTTATGTGTCTGATTATAACAGTTTTCCATCAGTTCTGTGAGATTTTTTTGCTCGTACCACAGGAAATTACCCTAAAGCCTTCGGAGATGGCGGCCAGCTGTCCAGCCTCCAGAACATAACCTAACCTGGGTGCCACAAACCACAGGTGACAGTGCTGGACAGGCCAAGGCCCCAACACGACTCTGAGGCCACACCTCTGGCCGTTGACCTTCTGCCTGTCCGACCAGGTGGCCTTGCTACCTCACACCACCAGCCCCTCTGCCATTTCACAACCAGGATGGGCGCAGGATGGAACGCAGACAGCACCTTAGCGCCCTACTTAGGAAGAAGCCTTCTGCGAAATGAGCGGCAGCTTCCCTTGGCTTTGTGTCTGCAGGCTGTGCCTTTCGCAGTCCCGCTGTCGCTCTAGATAAGGGCTGCGTTACCTATTTCTCACGGGCGCTCCCCGCTCGCGCGGTCGAGCGCTTCCACTGCGCGCGCGAGTGGACGTGACCCCCTTCCCGCCGCCAGCGCACAGCGGAGCTCCGGGCCGGCTCTCCCAGCGCCCAGCCCGGCCGTTCCTCCGCAGCGCGAGGGCGGCTTCCCGGGTGCCCCTCCCGGCGCCAATCCCCCGCCGGCCGGAGGAGGCGCTCCCCTGGCGCCCGCTGCCGGTGTTAGGTGGGCCGAGCCCCGCCGGCGAACCCGGGGCCCCGCCGGCGTTGCCCCTTCGCCTGCAGAGGGATGCGCTCGGAGGCGGCGCCGCAGCCCGGCGGCCTGGAGAGGTTCGCCAGTCCCGGCAAGGGCCGGGGCCTGCGGGCTCTGAGGCGCTACGCCGTGGGAGAGCTGCTCTTCAGCTGCCCGGCCTACACCGCCGTGCTGACCGTCAGCGAGCGCGGCGGCCACTGCGACGGCTGCTTCGCCAGGTGGGGCTGCGGGCCGGGCCGGGGAGCGGGGTCTGGGAGCAGGGGTTCTGCGGGTGCGGGCCCAGCGAGTGGCGGCTGCGGGAGGAGCCCTGCGGGCAGCGCTGAGTCGGGAAAGCTGCCCGCACCGTGCGTTCGTCGGCTGCGGGGAGGTTGCGGCGTGGAATTGGGTTCCCTCGCTTGAGAGCCCGGGAAATTGAGGGGGAAAAGGTTCGGCTGTTTTTGCAGTCGCTTAAATGCGCGCGCGGCTTCTTGCGAGAGGTTTAATTGCATCCGTGTCGGTTTGTAGCGCTGAAGTATTCACCCGTTTTCATGAGGTTGTGACAGGGGAGGAAGGGCCCGTGGTTGCCAGACAACTACGTTGCATTTCCGTGGTGCACACGGCCTGTCTGGATACTACTTCTTCAACCAAAGCCTCGGTCTTCCTGTGTTGTGAGGAAGGCTGAGGGCAGGCAGCGCGAGCTGGGCTCCTTCCGCAGGGCGCTTCCAGAGCGGCACGCCCTGACCGCAGGCCTCGTGCCTGGCATCCCACGGCTCATCGCTCTGGCAGTTGCAGAATCACAGAATCGTAGGAGCTGGAAGGGACCTGTGCTGATCGTCGAGTCCAGCCCCCCTGTTGTGTGCCAGCTGCCCTCCTGCCTCTCTGCGAGGCTGCTGAGGCACTTTAGAGTTATTATTAGAAAGTTATCATCCCTGGAGTTTTGTGTGTGGTTTTTTTTTTTTTTGTTTCTTCTTGTGCATAACCATAAATTGCCTTCTGTTGAAGAATCTGTCTATCACACCCAGATTTCTCTCGGTATGGGATCACAGAATCATAGGGGTTGGGAGGGGCATCTGGAGATCATCCAGTTCAATTCCCCTGCCAAAGCAAGCTCCCCAGAGTAGGTTACACAGGAAGGCATCCAGGCGGGTCTTGTATATCTCCAGAGAAGGAGACTCCACAGCCTCCCTGGGATACTTTCCATTCTCTGTTGTCATCAAGTAATATTGTAGTGATAATAGTGACCTAAAAATATTTGGGTCTCTCTCATAGAATAACTTCTAACAGTCGTCGGGATCAGCCTATTTAAATGCTGCTTTTTCTCCATGCTGTCTTCTGCTATGGAGTTCTAGGGCTGCACAGTGATCAAGGGAAATACACTGAATGTGCCATAGTAGTTACCATGCAGGAGACCAAAAGCTATTTCACACCAGAGTGATGGGGTTTTGCTAGAAGGGAAAAAATCTCACTGAAGTACCTGGATCTGCCATTTCTCAGAAAACATTTTGTATGTGCTCCCCATTTCAGCAACACCGAACTAGAAACAAAACTAGTACATACTACAAAAAAGGGCTTGATTTGCAACTATATTTGCTTAAACTGCAGTGTTTGGAAGGTTGTGGGTAATGTCTTAGTAAGAGAAACTTAGGTGTGCCGTTGTAAAAATGAGACTAGAAAGGCACATTTGCATCTGATGATATTTGTTACTTTAAATATGCAGCTGTACTCAAGGGGCATGCTGTCAGCAAGCAGAATGCTGTTGGTAGCCTGACACACTCGTGTTTCACCGTCAGCTTTGCAAGAACGATCAGGGGATGTTGACACTCTCAAGGCCTTATGGACCCCCAGTGCCAGAGACCTCTGCAAAATGCCCTTCATTGTTGTATTCTATGCAGACAGTCACTCTTGTTTTACTCCAGTGTACATCTTATAATTATTACCACACTTTTAGACAAATTTTGTTGCAACTTGTACTGGGGAAAGTGTGTAGGTGTAGGTGTTTTAAAGCATTTGGTACCACCGAGGGATCCCTATTGCTGTCACCAAAATGTCATGTTGAGTAACATATGCTGTTTTGGTGATAGGACCTGCTACAGCACACGCACCTTGAAGCAGAAAAGGATCTTCATTTTGTCAGATCCCTCTGTTGGGATATATACAGATTAAACAGAGAGTGCAAGCCTTAGGTAAGCTTAGGATACACAGCTATCCAGCAGATGCTGGACAGCAGGACAGAAAGAAGCTGTGTGGTGACAGGAGGTGGAAGAGTATTTAGTAATTTGGTGTTGAGAGGTGATTACTCACAAAACAATGATCGTGCTTACTGAAGCAGACAGAGAAGCAATGGAACTGAAAAAGCAGAAGCAAAAGGCTAGGAATGGTGAGCAGGTATATAGAGCAACGGGGAAGTTCTGAAAGCAAGGAGAAGTTAGCAATCAGCATGCAGCTTGTAGTGCCAAAAAATGAAATTGTCTGTCAAGCAGCATAGAATAAAACATTCCCAAACCCTGTAATTTAGGACAACAGAGTGCTTTTGCATAATAACGGTTGTTAAGAAAAACTTCCTTTTCAAACTCTAAACAAGTCAGAATAGCATCTGCCATCTGAAGTCGGGGTTCAAGCTGAACTTACAGTGTTCTGAGGAAATATGAAATGCTGTGCAGTGCTCTTCTCAGATGAGCTGTAGGGTTACTAGATTAGCCCCCCGTAAGAGATTCATACCTATTAGTGATAAAGGATACATTTGTATTGCGTTGAGCTTTACAGAATAGAATAACTGCCTGTTTTCTTTTAAAGGAAAGAAGGACTGTCCAAGTGTGGAAGATGTAAGCAGGCCTTTTACTGCAATGTGGAATGTCAGGTACGGTAATACAGTATGTGTGGGGGATGCTCACATCCATTTATTGTTTGTCATTGATAGCCTCTAATTTTAACTGTGGTTAATAGTAGCCCAGTCAATTTCAGCATCCCGCAGATGCTGACCATGAAATCGTGCATTGAACAATTACAGGATTTGGACATGGTCTGCACAAGTCTTTCAAGATCGGTAGCTCCAGGGCTTGGTACCACTGAGACTTTGATTAGAGCTGCCTGTCAGCCCACTAATTATGTCTGTATTACTTCTTTTTTAGAGCACAAACCAGATAAATTGACATTATCTCACTAAACTGTTAGAAGAGTTTGTGTCTAAGGAAAAAGTTAAATAATTAAAAAACTATTTTAAGTGCTTTTCTTGCTTTTCTTTTTTTTTTTCTTTATATACTATTGTTCTTTTAAAGCCTCCTAGAATAGAATATAAACAAGTCTACAACAAAGTAGAGCAGTGTGAAGGCATCCAAAACATTTGCATGCAGTTTTAATTACAGTTTTCATCTCAATATTGGAATAGGCATCTTTAAAAAAAAAAAAAATTAAAAATCCCAAATCTAGTATCTAAGGTGCTTTTATTTCAAGCATGCATCTTATTCTTCTACTGGGCTAGAGGCAAACTTTAGCTTATCCTCCTCTAGTTCTTCTGTTGCTTCCACTGGCTTTCAGCTTTCCTGCAACATCATGGAGAATTGTGGGTGAATTGCATGGCTTTTTGGCTTGGCAGTTGGACTCAAAATGCTTAGAAGATTTAATTTTTCAATGATGTTTTTAGTAGAGAGAATATTGAGACACTGATAGCAGTTGCACTGGGAAGAAATAAAATGCCATATAAGCATCTTTAAAGCTCTTGAGAGAAGTCTGAAAGAGTTTTAATGACAGTGTTGTGAAAACCCAGGATTCATTCATGAGAAATGCTTATTTGGAAGAAGTGCTTCCACATGTCATTATTTCTTAATAAGCCCTTAACTATGTGAGGAAAGGAAATACTTGAACAAAGCAATTTGTTGGTTGATCAGCACTTTATATCTGAGATTCTAAGTTTCTTGTCTTTCTTTATGAAGCTCACAATGGTTTATATAGCATATAACTGTCATTGCAAGGCTTACTGAAGTTGGAAATCTCCCAGTTTGTGCCAGGAAAAACAGCAAGTTGATAACCAGGGTGGGTGGAAGTAGTAGGACTTAGTTCTGCTGGCCTGCAGTCCTTTGCTTTTACCTCCAAGCCCCTCCTTCAGTCCTTCCCTCAGCAGCTTTTGCTGATAAGTTTACACATTAAGAACAAAGAGGCTTCTTTCCTCTCTCCCCCCTGTATAGTCTTGTCCATGTTTTGCTTTCTTACCTTTCTTTTTCTTTGTGGTCAGAAAACTATTTTTATAGTAGAACATCTGCCAGGGAGATAAAACTGAACTGAAACTGGCCATCCTTAAAACTACAGGTCAAGATGCTCAGCTGAAGTCTGTCTGATAAGTTAATGAATTAAAAGCTTTTCTGTCTGTTGGTGTATATTATGATGCTTCAGATACAAAAACATCTGATGATGTTCAGCAGGGAAATGTAGTGCTGAGGTGTGAGTGGCAGACAAAGTTTTGCAGTGCTGTAGAGGCTGATTTTTTTAGGCCTCACTTCATATGTTCTCACACTGGGCCTGCTGCAGTTCCCGTATGTGTCTGTCAATTTATTTGGTCTTGCTTTCCTTTCCAGCCCCTGATCCAGTTCCCCTTTTAAAAGGGTTTGAGAGTTGCAGCTGATTCGTACCAATTCTGCTCTTCGCTGTTGGCTCCTCGAAGCACAGGCCTGTTATTATAGTAGTGGCTTTCAGACCCCATCTGCAGCTGTTCAGGTCTTGACTTCTTAAATTATAATAATTTTAGTCAAACAGCAGGAGACCTGTGCTTATCTTTTCTCTTCAGAAATTAGCTGCTGAAACACTCTAAAGGGAAATATTTTAAGGGGGTTATGTGGGTGCAACTGTGGAACCGGTGAACTTGAACCAGCTACTAGAGCTCCTCTCTCTGTTGCTACACAGAGCTATTATTTATCCCAGACAGAGTGGAGATCAGCTAGCCAAAGTGCAGAAAGAGATGTTTTTGTCAGGACTTTCCATATTTGAAATATACTTTATGCAAAATATTTAGGGGTTATTCTTGACATGTCATGCTAAAAAGTGTTGTAGTTGGTATTTCTAGAATAAGGGAAACATATTTTTAGTTGTAGATCTGGAGTTAGCATCAAGCAGATGTGCTTTAAATGGGACCGTGCAGAAATTTTCCAATCTGCTTTGCTTCTAAACTGTGGAAGAAATAGGAAATTCTTGCTGTAACAGTTCTGTGCAAGAAGAATCTGATGCTAGAAGACCCTGTTTAAGCCTTTGGAAAGCCTGTGTTATCTCTTTGATAAATGTCTCTTGTCAACATTTGAACATTATCCTGTGGAAGTCCAATACCCTCTCTGGCTCAGCATTCAGTAAACTATAGTAGTGAAGGATGTGTGAAGTTCCTGCTTTTGCTGCTTGATGAAGGGCTGTGTCTGAGAACTTTACTGGATAATGCAGGCATCAGAAGATGCTTCACTGAAGTTCAGTTAGGGACTTGAATAATATTTGAGCATAACTGGGTCCAAAGAAGTGGGCTTTTCTCTTCTGATGGTTTGTCAAGCATTTCTGTCTACTGTTTGTGTTTTGTTTTGACCAAGTGAAATATAACAAAGTTTACATCCTGCAGAGAAATCCTGTGTTTGGAAGAAAGGAAGTTTGGACGTGGTTAGTGGGCATGGTGGTGGTGGAGTTGTGGTTGGAGTTGATCTTAGTGGTCTTTTCCAGCATTAATGATTCTATGATTCCAAGTGCCAGGATGCTTTTCTGGGTTTGAGTCTTATTCTGGGTATGAGGTGTATTTATTTATTTTTAATGCTGAGCTATATGTCAGTGTCCTGGACAGTGAAACTGCTTTGAAGGACTTGATGAAGAAGACCATTTCCATGCTTTGATGTGAAAAGCATGAGCTTTCAAGGACTTCCGTTCCAAAAATGTTGTCACACACTCCTAAATGAAGGGAAAAGTACTGTGAATGTATGGAAAATAGGAAGAAAATATTATTAATGTAACATCAGGGATTCAGCTAGAACAATGCTACCTGTTATAATTCAAACTGCTTAGAAAAAAAGCATGGAGAAGAATGCAAAACACAGTCCTGCTGAGAACGCAGGGGAAACTGCTGTCCCAGTGTTTCCATCCCAGATATTACTCAGTCATCAGTGCTCTCTCTCCTTGTAGCATTTCAGGCTTTTATCTCATTTCACACTATTCAGCCATATCTTGTCCCTTTAACCTCCTTACTAGTTCATATAACCCAGTGTGATTCTGCCTGGAGAAAGATTTTAATTAGCTGTGTGTAAAGAATAAAGAGAGCAAACGGACTTTTAAAAACACTGCTTTGAGACATGCATGTGATTTTGCATTTGATTTTTGTTTTTTCAGGTAATCTCTTGTTTATTTACCCTGGTGTATGAAAGCTGCCATACAAAACTCTAGGCTCTGTTTTCTTTGCTTCTTGCACCCCAGAAGCAAGTCTGAAGCATGAGTATGCAAGAAAAGAATGGAAGTGAAATGAGGTCCCACCTTTGTACATCTTTATGGTATTGGTCTTTGTTTAGGAATCCACTGGGTATCAGGAATTTTCCAGAGAGAGGTCTTGGGGCACACATAGGAAATAAGCCTCTACGGGGGATGCACTTCATAGTGTGACAGCTGTAGGACAGTTGAGAGCATAATTTCACATGACATGATTACAGTGTAATATCCTATTTTAGTTTGCCTGGTCTGTATGGCCATGTCCTCTTAGAACAGCCACACTTGAGCTTATTTCAGGGAGCTTGCATGCTGTTATTGTTTTGTTTCTTTTTTTGAGGTGGGGAATATATTGAGATATGAAGGACGTTGAAGCTGACCTTGTGAGGGGTTGAATCATCTTGCAGTGTCGTATGGCTTGAAGTCCTACATGAGGCTAGGGCAGGCGTTCACCTTCTTGTCCTAATACAATGAATTCCGAAAGCTCCACACATTCAGGGCAATTAAATTACACATTTCAGTAGAGGAAGGTTTTGGTGGACCAACTCTGGAATTAGAGGTATCAGCTTTTGTTTTGATCTGCATAAACTTTATGTAAGTGGGACAGCCAAGGCAGGATGCACTGCTCTGCACTTTTTAGGTTATCGTAAGTGGCTTCTGGCTATTACTTCCCCTAATAAATTAATCTTTCTGTAGTTCTGCTGCTTGCACGTGAGTGTTTTAGATAACCTAGGATGCCTCAAACAGCTCTTAATATCTGTGTTTAGGCAGCTGAGTGAAATCCAGTCTTTCTTCTGCTTCTGCTGCTCAGCCTCTCTGATAGGTTATTGTTTGTTTGTATTTTTTTTTTTCTGAATGACTAAGTAAGCTAACACGAGGTATCTGTCACTGTGCACAGTAAACATTACAAGTTTACTGGAGGCTGCAAGAAGCTTTTAAAGTTTTCATTTTCAGTAAATTATATGTTTGTTGTGGTTTCTTTCTTCAGCTTTCTTCAGTTTTCCACTAGTTTAAATCTGGTCTGAAACCAAAAATGGGTGCTCCCTATGCAAGCAGAGGACTACAGGGCTGTTCTAATGCACTGTACATGTGTCTGGGGGGGAGATACGTAAATAAATAATTGTGCACTGCATGAATATAGAAGAATATTTCCATACCTGATGAAAGAAATGAAGTGTGATGTAGTTTGGGAACAGCCCGTGCCAGGCTCTGTATGCCATTGCACAGCGTTAATTTGATTCTGTGCTAATCTTTGAAAGTTTCTGTTGGTTTGGAGGAGCCTGTAGACTGCAAAAAGCCAGTAGCTTGTGCCATCCCTCCCTGGTTTCATTGTATGCTGAACTAGGAGTATGCTGTATGTTCTGAGATGTATTTGTCTTTATTAGTGTGTTTTTGTTGCCTAGCTGTAGTCTTATCCCACAACAAATAAGGAAAAAATCTGATGATTCTCTTCAGCAAGCCTGGTTCTGACCTTACATATAGTCCTTCTTGGTGATTGTGAATCCATTGACTTCAGACATTACTCCTGATTACACCAGGGTCATGTCATAATGAGGGGCCAAGGTATTAAATGGAAATGAACCCAATAAAGCCATCAAGCTTAGACCTACTCTGTCCTCACGTGCTTCATCTGAACAATAAGAACTGGTGGTTTATAAATCATGTTGTCTGTTTGCTTCTTCACCATTTAGTTCTTTTTTTTTTTTTTTTTCCATTGAATAAATGAAGATGTTCTGACCTTAACTTATCCCTTGTGAATTTGTTTTAAAAAAGCAGGATAGCTGCAGCCCTCCAATGTGACTCGAGCTTTTGTTCGGAATTAGTGAGCGTCATCTTATTTTTTTAAAGGAAACACATTTCACTTGACCTCTAGGGTCTGCCTGGACTTGTTGTATCCTCATTTTCATCAGTTTATCTTCACGGCTAATTTTTAAAAATATTTTTCTACATTTGCAGAAGGAAGACTGGCCAATGCATAAGCTAGAATGTTCCGCCATGTGTGCTTTTGGGCAGAGCTGGAATCCCTCGGAGACAGTGAGGCTAACGGCGAGGATCCTTGCCAAACAGGTGAGCAGAAAACTGGACTTGGGAGGTATGTTCCTATGCTGTGTGCCAGGGAGGACAGGAAAGCGAGAATTGACCTGCAGTAACTGTCCCAGCAAAGCACAGGCATTCTGGCTTCCTGTGAACAGATGGGTGTAATGCAATGTGTGAACAGCTGAATGAATGGATCATCAAACCTCTGTAGTAGTGTCAGCAGCATCGTGGTAGTCTAGCTGAAGACTTAGGGGAAGACAGTAAAATTATAGTGAGTCTTTAAGCTGTCTAGCTGTATCTTGTGGCCCAGGTAGTGTTGAATGGAGTCTGGAGAAGTTTACCAATAAGACTGACAATGTATGCAGTGTTTCAGAGTCTGTTCTGGTAGATTTGAACTCGTTACACGTGTGGGCTAGCACCATGCCTATGCTATTGTTAGAGAAAAGAGAATGAGACCTGATATGTACGGTTAAATTCTGAGGAATGCTTCTAGTTGCCTGCTGTACTGTTTTTTTCAGCTTATAACTGTGTAGCACTGCCCAGAGTCAAGAACACCTCTGGGGTACTCACATATTGGTGTTTACGATTACTGGAGTTAGCTGGTGAAAAACAGATTGAAAGAACCTTGATCTTTGGTGAGAAGGAATGTCAGTAGTGAGGACGTAAGATTGCAATGTCAACCACGTTTCAGTGTTCCTTACCATATGGAAACTGAGGGCAACACACATGCTAACAGAGACAGGAAAGGTTATTACGCTGTGTCTCTTTGCAGAGCTCTAAACTCTCTGCAAAAACAAATCCTCTTTTAAGCATATTTGTGTGATTGAGGTCTGCTTATGTGGCAAGGGCAACCTGGATACCGTATGGAGTGAGGATTTTGGTGGCCCGCTGGGAAGGTAGCTGCTATAGTTGCTGTGTGTGTGAATGTATGTGTGTGACTTAATTAAAGTACGGCTTGGTGCTGATCCACAAACAAATTCGGATGTTTAATGACAAAAAGTCATTGGAATAAATTTGTGCTTTTATTGCTTACGAGGAGGGGGGAGAACCCTCCATGTCATATAAAAGCTAAATATGCAAACCATGGTCCCTGAACCTCAGCTGCTGGGCCACCTGCAAAGCCATATTTAATGGCCAAGATTACAAAGAAGTGGCCTTAGGCCAACAATGGAGCATTGCTTTTGAACTCTGTCAACAGTCAGTTTATTCACTTTCCTCAAAGCGAAGCCCGGCTCCTGCCTGCTTGCTATTGTTAGCAGCTTTCTGGGTGTCTAGAACAAAGCAAATGACATATTTAAAATACCGTTCAGTTTATGTATATAAATTTGATAAAAGTTGATGTTTGGTTGCCTAACTTGATGCAGAGAAAATATTTCTATGGTTTAACTAAGCGCAGTCAATTTAAGTCATTGCTGTTTGACTTTTATAAATTTCATATGCATGCTTTTATTTGATTTACAGGTGAGAGTCCTCAGCTTATAACAGCATAAACAAAACAGCCTACTTATAAAACACTAAAATATTTTCTTCTTGTTTCTCTTTTCCCCCCTTATTGCTAGAAAATTCACCCTGAGAGAACACAGTCAGAGAAGCTGCTTGCTGTGAAAGAATTTGAATCACGTAAGTAAAAACAGGGGAGTTGTTTGTGTTTGCTTTACACCTTGCTCCCCTCCATCAACACTTTTTGGAGTGTCTTTTCGTTTTTTTCTTTTTTGAATAAAGAATAAAGAGAGAAAGCTGTGGTACCTAGCATTTTGAAAGTCTAGTGCTATTATTTCTTCTTTTTTTTTTTTTTTTCCTGGTTGCTTGTAGGGTTGTGAAACAAGGGTGAAAACCTAGACAGAATTAATGATGTAGCATACATCCATCTCATGGCTTTTCTGGTACTCTGCTGTCTTTTGAGAATTGTAAGGTTGTAAAATTAAAATAGCTGGTATTTGTTACCAGAAGGCATAAAATCAGAGACAGCATAGTTGCTTGATGGTGACAGTGACTAAGGGGCTAATTGCAGAACCCTCTGGACTGTGCTTCACTATCTGTCACTGCCAGTCAAATCTGACATGTTATATGTGATTGTGTTGAAATTCCATGTCCTAAATGCTCCAAAATAATCCGAGGAAGGATATGAGGCAATGGCTTGCGTTTAACTGCAAGGCTACTCTTTACATCCTGTGAGGCAGAGTTAGAAACTGAGCAACTAGGGGACTAATATCTGTCCTGGCATTTCCACTGGTCTGTCATTTCTCTTTCTTGGTGCTGGAGGCAATATACAAGGAGGCAATAGGTTTATATATTCACATTTCTCACTGATTGGAAACTGAAGTTTCCAAAACCCTTTGTAAAATGCTGAATAAATGCAGCCAGTGCTAGAAGTTGAGGTAGCAAGGTAACCAAAACCATCAGAATTAGGATTTAATTTACTTCCTGGATGAAAGCTATCACAGGTCTTTGGACAACTGGGGAAGTAAAGGGGAAAAATGCCAACATTTGACCTTTTGTAAGGCAAGGCTAATTTTTGAAGATAGGTTATAAGTTTGAGGTCAAGGAAGACAGATAAGTGCTGAAATAATTTCTGTATATTCTTCTATTTGCAATGTGTTTTCAATAATGTATTACTTTGGGAGCTGAAAGGCAGATGTGTTTTGGGTTTTATTTTTTTCCAGTTGCAATGTCTCCCTGATCCCCTAGGAGCCCTTATTTTGTTTCTTCTTTGGTAGTAAGATTCTGTCCTATTATTTCTGCCTTGTTGATTCTCCTCTTACCACACCTTCATCGTGCTCACCAGTAGCCTTGCTCTTTGTAACAACTTACACAGGAGAGGAAAAGGCACCTGAATTCTAGCTCAAAGTTGAAAATCTATTTCTGGCTTGTCCTAATTATCATCAAATTATTGCATTTCATTTCTCCCAATGTTTTTGTGAGTCTCCTGTCACTCACATCTGCTCTGACAAATGCTTATTCCATTGTTGTGCATTCTTTTTCAGAATGTTTTTCTCTACTGTGATTTTGTAGAGGGGAAACTGATGAGTTGCTGTCACTCTCTTAGAACAGGAAAGAGCAGATGGCATTGCTATAGTGAGAAAGAGGATTAGGAAAAACTTTGCAGAATTCTGCTCCTGAAGACTGAAAGGGCTTAAGGGAGGGAAAGAATCAAGAGTATAGTGTCAGTGATCCAGCTCAGTTTGCATGGATCAAGCACCTGAAGGTCCTGTGGGCCACAGCTTCTCCTACTACTTGTCAACGCCCTGAGGGTACATCTCTGAGCAAACCCTGAGGGGAGTACAGTTGGTAGGTGAGGCCAGGACACTTTGCCTGATGTTCTTGCCATCTCTTGTTATCCTCATGTACCAGCAGATGAAACCCACCTCTGTGAATTGCCCTGTAGCTCCCAGAGATATGGGCGTTTCCAGGCGCTGCTGCATGCCAAAGCAGGTCCCTGCAGTAGGTCAAAGTGTGTTGCTTCCCAGGCAACCTTATATTATGCTCCTCTAACTGCAAAGGGAGCCGTGGTGACTAGCCCCAGTGTTAACATCAGACTTTGTGAAGTCACTGTCACACATGGCTGCAAGTAGTCAGGGCGTCTGCTGGGAAAGACCATGTATTTTGAGAGCAATAATTTTGAGAGCAAAAATAAGTAGTATTCCTTATCTGACTGGTTGATACTGATGAAGATTAAGTCTGTATGAGGGACTTACACTCTGTAAAGCATATTTGAAGAAATGTTTTATCTAAAAGCATTTTGTACTACAGCAGGCAGAACCAGATAGCTCATAAAGTCATCTTAAACAGCTGAGGACAGTTAGCTGCAGTAGATACGCTTCTAGAGAGATGGCTTGTCTGCTTGCTAGGGCTAACAAATGCCTATTAAACAGTGTAACCTTTCTTCCAGCAAAGATAATTTTTTGTCCGTTTACCACTTGACGTAAAGATGTTTAGAAAGTGATTTTTAATCCTGCATGTTCTTGTAGTATAAGTGTGGCCTTGGCAGAAGAAGCATTATCTTTATGGAAGAGCAGACGCTTTTGTGCTACTTCCGAGTAGCTGTTCCATGAGGGGTTTCTGTTTAAGTCCAGGCTTGTTTAACTTAAGCCTAACTGAAGTTCACTGAGGAGTGTTCCTCTTACTGAAATGGAATGTATTCTTTGTCCACAGACCTTGACAAACTAGACAATGAAAAGAGAGAGCTGATTCAGAACGACATTGCTGCTCTTCATCACTTTTATTCAAAGCACATGGAGTACCCTGACAATGCTGCTCTTGTAGTTCTCTTTGCACAAGTAAGTTGGTTAGAATGTAGTCTGCTTAGGTGGATGGTACTGTAGGAGGAGTTCAGCCTTTGTGAAAGGGGCAAAATCTTACTGGTGATGGAAGTGATAGCTCTTTGCTTATCTTGAGGAGAGCTGAGTGTGCTTGATGGCAAAGGTGCACTTCCTTGGCCAGAAGTGGCTGGACGCTCTCCATTTCAGTAGTGAGGGAGAGATTCTTATCTTCAGATTTTTTGCAAAGTGCTTCTCAAACACTGAAGAAAATGGGAAACAGCCTATAATAGACTCTGTCCAAGTTAGGCCTTGGGCCAAGCATTAGTGCAGCTGTTGGTGGGCGTACAAAGAGAGCTACTTGCCTTCAAAGGATCTCAACAGCAGAGTATAAGAAAGAGCAGCCTGATATTTTATTTGACCTATGGCTTTTAAATGCAATCAATTAGTTTTGTCATCTAGAGAGATGAAGGCAAGGCAGGATCTCTTGTTAGATCACTTCTAGAATATGTCACCTCTCTTCTCTCACCTGATTTTCATACACATCAAATGTGTTGTCATGGATGAAATAATGCAGAAATGGAATGCTGAAAGAACCCTTATGGTTTTTTTTCTTCTTTTTCTCCTGTACTTCAAAACAAGCTAGTTTTAAACTTCTGAGTAAAAAGTTTGATTTTGAGCTATGAATAAATGTCTGATGCAGTGAAAGCTGAAATGGCACCTCCCTCTTCATGTAGCCAGTAGTGTATCAGTAAGGAGACACTGTTACTATTGCCTTAATACAGGCACTGTTACATTGTAGAGGAATGATTCTTCAGCGTATGCGGCATCTGTTCTTCATTCAGTTGTTTCTAACTGTGCATTTCCCTTCAGTAAAAAGTTTTTCTATTTTAAAGACTTGACAATATGACTTGTTGGAGGGATATTTTAAAGAAATCTGTACATCCAGTTTCTTGCATTGTTTCTGTATAGTTTTACTGGAGTGTAGCTAGAATCCCCCAAAGAAAGTTATTTTGTATAATAATTTTTTTTTCATGCCCTTTCCTGAATGCTTCAGATGACTACTGTGAGCAGTTGACTCCATGAATTGCTATTCTATTCAATCTTCCCTCTGGATGCCTAATGTCACCTGTAGGTGTCAAATGAATTCATCTTAATTGTAAGACAGTTATCTTCAACTGTAAACATTGGTATTTTTGTAATTGAAAACTCCAGAGATCATCTGGAAGTTCCAGAAGGGTATTTTACAGGATACAACTTTTTGAGGTTTTGGCTCCATTATGCATCATTCTGGAAAAAGCAGAGGTCGGTCTGTACTTGATGCATACAAACACACTTTCTAATGATTAGTTAACCTGAGCTAAAAGCTAAAAGATAAGGTGCTGTGCCTTTGTTTTGCTTCAATAGTTTCTCTGGCTTTGCGTTTTTACTTTGCTTCTCCATTTGTTCTTTCTCTCTGTAGCTGAGGGCAGCTGTTTGGCAATAGAATACCTCAGACTCCTTGCTCAGTGCTTTTTGGGGTTTGGCCTGGTGTAGCTCCTTTCCACCTCAGATAAGGCACAATTATCTTTAAGAATGGAGCAAAGATTTTTGTTCAAAGCATCCTAGTCCTTCAACGCTTTCTTCCCCAGCTGTAGGTATCATTCTACTCTCTTTTGTCCCTCTGGAGCATAACTGTTGAGACTATCACTCTACCTCCTCAGTCTCATCTCATTGTACTCCTCGGTTTCTCTCTTCTTTCAAGTTCTGGTGTCCCATCCTTTCCTGTGCCTTACTTTGCACCTTCTCTGTTCCACCATTGGGAACAACTTTGGTGTCTCCTTTTCTTGCTCAAGTCTCTTTACTCTCTCCTTGTTTCCTTTTTTAGTCATGCACTCCTCTGGGAAAACAGTGCTATCTCATCCCTTCTATTTGCTCCTCATGTGTCATTTGTGGTATGATGCATTCAAGAAGTGGGTTGTCTCTGGCTTAGTGCAGGGGAATTGATGATAACTCACTACATATTTTTAAATATTTTCCTGTGATTCAGATCCATCAAGCTGTTCTCTATGTCAGCCTTTGTAGCCTTATGTTCTTACTTGCTGTTGATATAATCTTTCTCTTCTATTGCTTTTGTATTTAGCAATTACATTTTGGTTTTGGTTCAGGTATGCTCATATGTTGGCTATTGCTCATCAGAGCCTTTGGATGCTAACTTGCTAAAACAGAGAAATAAAGAACAAATAAATTCACCAAAAATACTGGAAAGTGAATCAGAGATGCAAGACACTTAGCTATGAACTCATCCTGAACAATTCATAACTGAGGGGTGGCTTTGGAAACCGTTTGTGCATTTCTGAAATCTAGTCCAAGCTGCATTCCAGCCTGTGGGGCATCAGTAGTGTTTGTTGTCGCCTCCTGCCCTTCCAGAGCACGCACTTACACTGTGCTTGATTGAATGCTCTTGTGCCCATTATAGCTTCAGCTGGACTTCGTTATGTGACTGTAGTTCTTTCAGTGTTTTTCTGGCACTTCTGTGAGGATTTTAAGGATTTTAGGGGAGAGGCTGGTGAATGAGGCTAGGATTCTCTGGGCTGGCATGTATGTGACTTGCAGTAAAAATGGAATAAAGTATTCGTTTGAGGTACAGCTAGGTCACTTAAGTCAGACAGAGTTGAAAGTCTGGAAACATTCCTTTGAGCTTAGTGAGAATAAAACAGGAGAAGGTTTTAAAACCTGTTTGAACCTATAAGAAATATATCTGAATAAGTTTTTTAGTCTCTGATTAAATCACTATTATGCTTCCTCAAGCATTCTGTTCTTTTTCTGTCCTCTTCTATGCCTATATGAGGTTCTAGTCTATTCCTATGTTCTTCATGTCTGCTTCAGCTGTAGCTCATACTTGCAGCCTTTGACCAGCTGACATCCTCAGTGTGCCACATTTCAGTAACACATGCTCCTTCAAAGCTCTGCAGTGCCCCAGCCTGGCTGAGTTTGCTGCTACTCATCCCTGTGTTGTTCCTTGCATGCAAGTTCTGTTTCAGCCCGTTGTTGGCAATGACCAATTGAGATCTCCTTGCCCTGTTGTTACACGTGATGTTTGCAGTGGTCTGCTTTGTTGGACACACTTTGTGGTGCTTTGTTCAAGCCTCGTTTCCCTTGATTGGCATTTTGAGGTGTAATCCCTTTGGTGCTGTGTCCTGAGCAGAAGCAAGTATTGGAATGACAGTTCTTTGTAGTCCTTCACGTTCCTTTGGAGATGGATTTTGTCCTCACTTCACTGTTTGAGATGTCATGTAATTTCTCCATGAATACAACTGACATGTAAAGAAAACTGTAAGCAAATGGTGGCTGTTAACTTTTAAGTATGAGAATGTGATGTAAGTTGACCAGAATGTGAGTTAATCTCTTTCTCTTTTTTCTTAGGTTAACTGCAATGGTTTCACGATTGAAGATGAAGAACTGTCTCATTTGGGATCAGCCATATTTCCTGAGTAGGTTAAGTTTAATATTTAAAAAAAAAATAAGAACAACTTATTTAAAAACAAACAAAGGCTCTTTCGCATGTTTAGAAGTAGGCCTGTATTGAAAGAAATTAAATCAAAGAGTTAGTATTAATTTGTCATGTTTAAAATATGTTAACTAATTCAATCTGCCAGTGATTTGCAGCAGTTCTGCTTGTAAATCTAGTAAACTTTGTAAAATTGTACTTGGAATCTGTTTTGAAGTCCTGTAGTTCTGGCTGTGAACTATACACAGGTTGGTAGGAGACAGACTTACTTGGCTAGCAGGTTCTGGACGGGGACATCAAGTAATGATCAAAGCTAAATGAAAAGGATTGTAAGTTTATTGCTTTATCCACAGGTTTCTGCATTGCTTGGGTATAATGCTTCACCTGATGCTAGCAAAAAACCATCCCTTCTACCTTTGTTCCTTTGCAAGGCATAAATCTTTTTCATAACTTCTTTCAGCCTCCTCAGATGTTTTATAAACTGCCATGCTTTATGTTGCTTCAACAGTGGGAAAAAATATGTGCAACCTCCTCAGCTTTACAAACAAACTGCAGATGTTAGTCATTAACTGCAGTTTGTGGATTGGGAGGTACAGCTCTCTGTGAGGCTGTGTAACTTTTTTCCCTTTAAGTCTGTACTTCCCATTCTGCCTCTGTTCTTTGCAAACTCCACACTGCAAGTGCTATCAGCTCTACTTATCTTAGCTTCCCTGTGAGGTGTGGATTAGTGGTAATTATGTCAAAGCAATTTCAAATGTCCTGGTGCCCTGTTAGAGAAGGGTTTGATTGCTGTATACAGATCCATGCTTCAGGAGGGCTGGAGTGTTTATTTCTTATCCCTGGAGGCCATGAAATCTTGGCCAGGAACAGGGTCATGGTGGGAAGAGAATAATATGAAACCAGGATCACTTGGAATCAAGTGCAACACCATTCTTTGTTTGTCAATGATTATTATTTCAATAGCTCTGAAGAGAAAGAATTAAAATTCAACATTTTATCTTAAATAAGCAGCAAATTGCACTTCCTGGCTTAGTATGAGAGGAAAGTATTTTTCAATAGCAGTCTTGAGCTTTTTTGTGTAACTTGTGTGCTGGTATATCAGAGATCTCCTTCTTCCCACTTTAAGCATGGAAGCTGTTTATCTTTGCAAGAAGTGAGATAAAATTTTAACACTGATCTTAAATGTGTCTAGCAACTGCATTTGTTTGTTTCCTTGTAGCTAAGTGGGTTTCTCTTTCTTTCTTCTCAGAGGAAAATGGTCTGTTTCTTACAAATAGCTGAATAGGTTGTTGGAAGTTAAGGTGTGCAAATACCCTGTCAGCTGTACTGTTGCACTCTAAGAATGGGAAAATAACTTGCCTAGTCTGGCTATAATAAGATACTACAGTGATTCATTAAAATGGCCATTTTCCATATTGATAGGATAAATTAAAACACAACAGATTTTCCCCAGGTTACCTTCATATTAAGCCTCACTAAGAGCAGTTTGTAGAGGAAGACTGACTTGGTCTTTTCAGGCTTGTTTGTTGTGTGAAGTTTTGCTTAACTTTCTGCCTGTTGCTTTTGGTGGAGAGGGAAAAAGGTTCACTTTTGTGCTTTTACAGTGTTGCACTGATGAACCATAGCTGTTGCCCAAATGTGATCGTAACTTACAAAGGGACAGTGGCTGAAGTAAGAGCTGTGAAAGAGATTGAGCCTGGAGAAGAGGTAGGTATACTGCTTGAATGTATCCCACTTTCAGACTTTGTTCCAATTAGATGACAGTTTAATAATAAGGGGGGAAGGATCTCTTGTTTCTCAGAGAAGCCTGAGATGTAGTTTTATGGTGGTGCAGGAAGGCTGAAGTGATTCTAGGAGGCGGTATCCTATTTTGTGTTAAAACAAGGGATGGGCACCTGCATCAGTCGCTGCATGTCTGCTGGCCTCCGTCTCAATTTATCCATCTGTAAAAGGAGGCTTAATTTGCTGATGTTTGGCTGGTGCTTTGAAATTCCAGGATCAAAGAAAATTATTACTGCTGTAATAGCTCCCAGTATAATAGTAATGGAAGTGAAGCCAGAATAAACAAGGTAAATGGGAACAGATAAGTTCTCTTACTTCTGTTTCAGTCCCATGTGTTGTGGATGCTCTGTCCAGTCATATCACTCAGCAGAGTTTAGCTGTGTAATCACAAAAGAGCTAGAATATGTTTTTAGTTGGAGCAAAGCTGAACAGTGATGGATAAACTAAGGCCCTGGTAAACTTTCTCAGTCAAGTAATGAACTTGGCAGCAAATCTTCAGCTGCAGAGCTTATTTTTACTTTAATAAAATTATTATTATTATTTTTTTATTTTAAAATTAAGAATATGTAAGTTAGGCAGACTTGGGAAAATTGTTCCTGTATCTACAGGGGATGAAAATACTCCGGGGATGGAGTTTGTGTGGAGGTTCATTGTGGGTCATTTGCCCACAAGGTTAATTTAGCCTTCAAGGTTAATGCTGATCAAAACAAATTCAGATTTGACTTTGACAACTCCAGCTGATTTCTGAAGTGTGTAATAGTAATTTTGGAGAAGGTGATAGGGGTGGTTTTCCTGGATTGCAGCTGTTCACCATTGTGGACTGAGTGACTTCAGTTGCTGGGACAGAGGTAATGCAGGTGAGCAACTTCTCAGTGTGCTGTTTATTATGATCTCACTGTGGTGTTGTTGGCAGTCACTACAGATGCACTGTGGTAACGAACAGAATAATCAGTTTTGGAATTTTCCCATGGAGTCTCAGGCATTTTGGAGAGCACTAAGAGGTGGAAGTGAGGAGCATTCTACTTTGCTGACATCTTCTTTTGGTTAAACAGTGTTTTCGAAGCTGCATCGCTTCTATAGGACCTCACTGCTTTTGTGCAGTCAGTCTCTCTTCTGACGTTTAAGAATTTTACAGAAGTGGACCAGTGATTTTATTTGGGCCCAGCGCAGTCTTACGGCCTATGTCTCCACCTTCAGATTCAATATAGGCATTGCATCAGAAGTCCAAGTGGTTGCTGTAAATGCTATTCCTGCGTTTTACATGCTTGGAAGGGAGGAGGGGAGTGTGGGAGAAGCTGTGAGATAACAGAGAAAGATTGGGAGCGTATGTAACATCAAATTACATGTGCATTTTACTTTGAAATAACTGAAGATGAGGAAATGAAACTAAAAGTCTTTCTTGGTCTGCAGAGTTATCAACTGCATCCCCTATGGCGTATTTCTTGAGGGAGATGTCATTTAAAAAACAACACTACAGCCAGTTGAAGGGTTTCTTTTCTGGTGATCATTGAAATAAAGGGAAAATTTAGAACAGTGCATGTGAAAGGCTTTTAAAGTGATCAAAAGTAGATTTCTTTAAGTGTTGCCACTGAAGTAAATTTGACGTTCATCTTCCTAGAACTGGAGCACTGGGCCTTCTTCTCAGAGATCTAAAGGTCTTCTCCTAAGTTTCTAAAGTGGCTGTTGTTGTCCCAGTTTTACTCAGTTTTCAGAAGGAAAAATTTGAGACTCCAGCCTCCAAAAAACCAGGCCACTGTGATTTATACCAGGCTGGATACCTGAAGTCATTATTTTACTTCTGAAAAGTCGGCATCTCTTTGTAGTCTTGACAGGAGTCTGATATTTATGGTGTTGTAGTTTCCTTATCCACACCTGAATCTTCCTCTCCTGGATCTAAGCCAGCGTAATATGTGAGGGAAATTCCATACTGAATAGGAAAGGAAACACTTCTTTGTCAGGTTGTGTTCACAAAAGACAACTCCCAATGCTTCTGAGAGGTTTGGAATGTGAGGGGAGAGGCAGTTGATATGGCTGCAGGGATTCATGAATTGGGTCAGTCATACTAAATATGATTTCCAGAACTGGTAGCAACAAATACGTGTATTTGTACTGCTTTTCATTGACTATTCTGTTTTTGCTGCCTAGGTTTTTACCAGCTATATTGACCTGTTGTATCCCACAGAAGACAGGAATGACAGGTTAAGAGACTCCTATTTTTTCACTTGTGATTGCAGGGAGTGCACTACGAAGGAAAAGGTAATAACGGGATTAAATTGGCATGAAATGATTCTGAGTGTCAGGACACTTACCCAGCTCCCTAGATGTGATATTCTATCTGATTTAATTAAATGTTGGAAAGTAGGGTAATAGAGAGAGGGCTTGTGTTTTGTTTTTCTGCCTGTAAGACTTTCTTATACTCATTCTTTCCTGGCGTTTCAATTATGACGCATCACAAAATTTCCAGGTGGATGCTCATTTAAAGTTGATCTACAAAGTGAAGACAAAAACTTTGTTAGAAGTAGGTAATTATGCTGTGTCTACGCTACCTGGCCAAAAGAATTTAGATCAGAACTGAGTTTTGTAACTGTGTGTTTTCTGACTCAGTGAGCCTTGGTTGGGGCATTTTTGGGGATCCTGTTCTGGCATGGAGTTCTGCCATAGTCCCTGGTTAGGACATCTCTGTCAATTCTACGTGTATGATTTTGCTGGATTATTTGGAGACCCAGCAGAATTTGTGAAATGGGATTTCCTGCAAACAGCATCATATCATTCTTGTCACTGACAGGACAGTGTTGGGTCACAGGCCAGATGTACTTTCGTTGGACATCACTTGGTGCCTTTCAAAGGACAAAGGCAAATGTGCAGACAGTGTTCCTTAAAACAGGGTGTTAGTTACTTTGAACAAAAGCATTTGTCATGGGAGGGAAAGGCAGCTGAACTCAGCAGATATCAACAACAGCTGTTCCTGTTCTGCCAGTTGGTTGATTGTCCTTCAGTGTAGGTCCTAGGAGAACTAAGCTTCTTGCAGCAATTCTGTCATTCTAGTCAAGATAGATCTGACTGGCATAATTCATGATCCTCAAGTTCTAGATCATTTCCTCTCTGCATTTTCACAGAAGTGCCCATTTAAGAGCTGCTACCCAAAGTGACCAGCCATCTCCTTTCCTCTACATAGTGTGTTTTGTAATTTTTTTCAAAATACTACTCAGTATTCTCATTTGAGGCCATTTTGTTGACACTGAAGTTGTGTTTTCTCCCACAGTTACCTCAATCATTTTGCCACTGAATTAATAGTAGCCAGGATTTCACTGTGATTTCTAGTAACTTGCTGCTCATGGAATCACCTGTCACTCAGCCTCCTTCACTGCTGGGAAGACTTCTCTGTATTTAGCTGACAGTTGAAATCATGAGGGTTAAAAGAAATCTAGCAACAGTGTGAGGTTTAAACAGTAAAAGATTATCTCCAGATTGCAGCTGACTCTTCATGAAGTAATAAGTTAGATAAAAAGATAAGAATAAAGGGAGCTGTCCAGCAGAAAGCCATTTTGTTGTATATAACAAAACGTGTGGAAATACATTTTTGTTTGTAATTATGAAGGCTACTTTTCTCATTTAATATCATTCTGTTTTCCACTGAGCTATCACATGGAGGAAGGCCTAAGGTATTTGGGCTTTTCTAGCCTTAAAGCTAAATATATTTTAATCCCTAATCTCTCAAAAGCAGTAAAATTTTCTATGTAAAGCTGCTTTCATCACAAAATCGAAAAGCTCTTGGATCTTTCAGAAGAATGTACCTCGTGTAAGTAGAGGATGGCAGATGAACTGGGAGGCAGAGGATTCTAGGATTCCCAGCCACGGTTTTAGAGAAAATTGCAGGTGCACATTCTACCCTTGTTTCTACATTCTTCGACAAGCTTAAGTCTCCATCTGTGTCTTTTTATTAATTTTGTGCAGCAGATGCACCTTTTTTTGTAGGGCTTGGAACCCGCGTTCATGACATCCATTGTGTTTCCTTCAGGATAAAGAGAAACTGAAAATCCGCAAGCTGAATGATCCTCCATCAGCAGAGGCGGTACGAGACATGATCAAATATGCCAGGAACGTGATAGAGGAATTCAGACGAGCCAAACACTACAAATATATCCTTTGTCTCACCTTGTCTCCACTGGCTTGGTCCGCAGCCTAAAGCTTACGTGCTGACTTGCTTCAGAAGTACCTGGAGGAGAAGTACTATGACCTAGAAGTTAAACATACCTCTGTCCTTGTCATGCCTGGAGAGTTCTCTTGTCTCTTCTGGAGACGAGAGGCAGTTTGGCATTGCAAGTGTGGGGCTGTGGGACCCTGTATTTGTTGGTTCCTTGCAGTTGTCAGTTTCTAATAGCACGCCATACATTCTCTGCAGAACAAGCCAGAGCCTGGAATGAGCACAACGTTGTGTTTTTTAGTGTGCAGTAATGTTCCCTGGTTATGAGGGACTGCATGTGAGGCTGCAGCTATTGTTTGTGGTCACTAGCCTACCTGTCCTGACTGGAGGGATGGGACAAAAATGAAAGATGCACTGGGCCAGAAGCAGACCTGATTGAGTAACCACTGCACAGGGAATCTCACTGCTCCTTCATCTGACAGTTCACTGGAGCAGCAGTGGCTCAGGAAAGCAGATTTCTTTGTTGCTTTTTTAAATGTGAAGGTTACATTTGTAGAAAATCTGGGTAGGAGGGGGAATAATCTCATGAGCAGTGCCTCTGAGCATGGAATACCTCACAAAGTAGCACAAAAGCATTGATGCCCTTCGAGAGAAAAAAGACTTTTCAGAGCCATTCTGAATAAGATTAAGGCTTTTTTTTTTTTTCCTGACATTATCTGGTAGCTGTCTGATCAGAAACTGTGCATTGGGTTCCTTGACTTCTGCATACCTCCCAGTGAATTACTGGAGATCTGTGAGCTCAGCCTGGATAAGATGGGTGCAGTGTTTGAAGACAGCAATGTCTACATGTTACATATGATGTACCAGGCCATGGGTGTCTGTCTGTACGTGCAGGATTGGGAAGGTGCACTGCGTTATGGGCAAAAAATTATCAGACCATACAGGTAAATATGAGACCTTTTTTTTTTTTTTTTCCCTTAATGCTCCAATTCAGTAATCTGAATAACTAAAACAAGTCTGAGCAGAGATTGCTTCTCTGAGTACTTAATGTACAAACGCACTACCTGTGACATCACTGCTTGAAATGGAGTGCTTGCATTCAACAGTTTGTTACTATCAGAGTGTGACATACAGTACACAGCTTCAGTCTGAAGTCCATGCTTTGAGTTTTAGAATACGTTTATCCCACCACGGGTGCTGTGCTAATTCTGGTTGTTTTTGTTTTTAATATTCTCCTACTAAGAAGACTTCACTAAAACAGAGCTTTAAAGTGTGCCTGCAGTCCATTTTTGTGTAAGGTCATGGAGGCAAAGCCGGGTATTACTGCCAGCTTCCCACCCCGTCCCAGCTCCTTCTCTCAGCAGCAACTGCAGGAGCAGGGCAGGGCTGAGCAGCAGAGGGAGCTGGAGCTGAGCTTAAAGGTGCCCCACGATCCTGCTCTCCACACCGCCCTAGAGCTTCAGGCAGGGGAGAGCGGGCAGACTGCAGCCCTGTGTGGAGCAAGTCAGCACATAACCTCTGTAGGAAACAATTAGTATTTTCCCCAATACTTTTTTTGTATTTTTACAGCAGTGGTCTTATTCTCTAGAGCCAGCCAGTTACACACTGCATGTGATCCTGCCAGTGGGTCTCCCAAGCAGATTCTCATCTTTGAGCCTTGACTCTCCTGCCAGCTGGGAGGAGCACGAGTGGAGCTCTCCCTTTGGAGCAGATGCCAACGTCAAGTCACAGATCGCTTGGCAGAGAACAGTGATACAGAGAACGAGCCAGTGCTTTCTCCCTGGGGACTCTGTACTATTTATCTTCCCTGGGACTTGCCCGGCTCTTCTGGCTCCAAGCCTGGCATTCCAGGTCAGCTCTGCTGAACTGAGCTCCGTCAGCTCAGTGAGAAGCAAGTGCGGGGCTGATAAGTGCTGCATACCTTGTTGAGGGACCCCAGCTTTCCATTAAAGACTGACCGTTATGGGATAAGCAGAGTTATTTCTGCAGAGGGTGAAAAATGGTAACAACGCAGTCATTTTCTGTAGCTGGAGAGATGAAAACCAATGACAGAAAGTCACTGCCATCTGACAGCTGTTCAGAGGCATACGGTAGCTTCAGTTCAGTTCCCAATGCCAGGCAGCGCCATCCTAGAAAAAAACTGGCACTGGCTCTTGGCAGTACAGCAGAGGGGCTGAGCAGTAAATGGGCAGGGGCAGGAGAGGCAGAGCAGGGGGCAGGGGGGAGCTCTGGGTCTGCTATGATTGATAAAGTCTATTTTCTTTCTCCTTTGCAGTAAGCATTATCCCTCCTACTCACTGAACGTTGCCTCCATGTGGCTGAAATTAGGGAGACTGTACGTGGCACTGGAGAACAGACCAGCTGGAGAGAAAGCCCTGAAGAAGGTATTTCCTGATTTCTTCATTAATAATAACAATTCAGGCATAGAGTCATTGGAACGTGACATGCTACTGTTGGTAAGCCTGGCTTGGTGAAAAAGGCAGCATTTGTTAAGATGTTTGGTTACAGGAATTTTGGCTTAGTTGCACTCTGGGTCTGTTCTGTATTAAAAGGAGCCTTATTTTTTCACAGTGGACTTCCACTGTTACACATCTTCACTGAGCTGGAGCTGTGCTAGTGCAATTGGAGCAGAACTTCAGCTTCTCCTTACTTGCAGGGTAAGGACAGAAAAAAACACTTGGTTCTTATGAAAGGCACACAGTGCTTCACTGATGCCTGTGATTTCTGTATCCAAGTTAAACTAGGTATGCTTTTGGTGGTTATTTGTTCTGGAACCAATTGATTTTTAAATAGCTGAAGGGAATTCAATGCATATGGTAATGCTCAAATTGGCAAATACAGCATTAGATTTTACATTTTTCTTTGCCCTTTTTTATAAGTCTGTTCCTTGTTCTTTAAGTTTTTATTCCTTTATTTTTTTTACTATTCTGTTTCATGCTTCTTGACTTTCTTCCCCTACTGTCGTTGGACAAGTGTTTATTTTTGTTTCCTAAGTATCAGTGATTACTGCAGTATATAACAGCTCGGTGTGGAATGTCACGGATTTTTTTTTGGTTCTTTTACATTTTTGGATGCTGGCAATTTTTTAGCCAGCAACAGCAAATCTGTACAGCCATGGTGGAGGATGGTGCAGGAATATGCACTCTCAAATGTATCCATCAGCTGATTCAAAATTAGCGTAGGTTTTTCTTCATAGAATGGCCTGGGTTGAAAAGGACCACAATGATCATCTACTTTCAACCCCCCTGCTATGTGCAGGGTCTTCACTGCGGTGCTTCAGCTCTGACTAAAACTGGGGTTGGTGCCACTGTGAACACGGGCTGGGGAGTGGGGGAGCTGTAGGTAGAGTGGTTGGCATAGTTAGCTTCCTAACACAAACATTTTCTTATGACTCATTTCCAAAAGCTGCCTGCAGGGACTGCCCAAAGTTATCCCAGCCCCTGAGGTTTAGAATTCAGTGGAAAAACAAAACCATTGTTCTCTGTCACTTTCCAGAAGCTCATCCAGAAGGCTGTCACTTCTTTAGGGGCAGGAGGGGGATGGAGTCATTTCTCACTGCAGCTGAGATAGAGCCTAAGGCTCCCGTTGTATCAACTTAACTAATAGAAGAGCATAATTCCACAGAATTTCCTGAGGGGAAAATGACTAAATGTTGTTACTTTCAGGGTGCTGCAGTTCTTTGCTTCATCTTACCACTGTGGTCTTTAAATATTCTCAGATGCTCCAAATTTACTCTTTTCAGTCCTGTCTGCTGTTGTGTCATCTTACACATGCCTGGGGCACTGCTATCCTTTTCTCAAGTGGAAATCTTCCTCCTGTAAGCCACTCTGTAGTGCAATGTGGATATTGGCTGGAGGTTGCAGGGCATTGGGTTTGGCTGTCCAGAATGTTCAGTGGTAGGAACAGAGCCATCTGTAGGTGAAGTGGCAGGGAGTCTGGCACAGCAGAGCCTCAAGCTGAAGAGATCTGGTTTTCACTTCAAAAGCTGCTTCCTTCCTAAAGCATTGGTGGCCCTGGAACCAGGGAAGGGTTTACAGAATCAGGTCTGATATACCTTTTATCAACTTCTGCACTAGCCTAGCCACTAACTTGTGGCTCTGGCAGCTGAAGGATGAATTGGTAGGAATAGATCTTCCGTCTGATACTGGTTAAGTATACTGCCAGAATATTACCCACCCCACATGCAGTTCTCTGTCCTGGAGCTGGTTGCATTCAAAGTAATTTTGTCAGGAATATAATTTTGAAAGGTGCTTTGGGATCCTGTAGGATGAAAGAAGTATTATATGAATGTAAAAACCTTTATTACTTAGTTTTGAATTTCATTTCGTTTCCTACTGGGTTTGTGACTACAAGGGGACAGAATGTAGCTAGAGGTGTCAGACTGCTTCAAACCTCTAAAGAGAGTATTTATAGCCTAGTGTTATATATGAATCAATTGTGTGAATACTTTTTTTTTTCTCTCTTCATAGGCAATTGCCATCATGGAAGTAGCACACGGGAAAGATCATCCATACATTTCAGAGATCAAAAAGGAATTAGAGGACCACTGAGCCTTTGAATCTATGCAATCCTTCAAACCTTTATTTAAAAAGCCTTGTTATGGAAACCTTCAGGAGTGCTTTGAAAAGCGGTAGAGTATGAACACAGTTCTGTCCTATAATTGGAATGACAAACACACGTAGGGTTTGCAAAATGTTTCTAGCCTCTACAAATCTACAGTTGCCTTTTTTGTTGTTTGTTTTTGAAGGAAACAGCCATGATTACTTAGAGGATAAGCCTCTTGACTGCTCGTGCAAAAATGGCCAATTTTTCTTTAAGGATTTTAATGTGCATCTTATTAGTGTAAAATAAAGTGGTCTTGGCCTCTCTTGATTCCATTTGTACACTTCCACGACTGCAAATAGTTTGACGTTTTCTCCTAAGTGGTCTCCTTTAATCTGTCCAATTATGAGCAAAACTCATATGGTTTTTATTGTTATTGTGGTTTAGTATCCAGTTTCTCTTTTCACAAATCATTTTTGCTTGCAGTGACTTAGCTGAGAGAAAGGAGAAAAAGGGCCGATGAATTCTGTGCGTCGTATAGGAAAGCCACCACCTTTCCCTCAGCAGTTCAGCTGCAGGTCCATCACTGCTCCTAGCAGGTAGGAATTTGTCACTGTAAGTACCTGGAGCTCAGCATGCAATGCACAGAGCCTGCTGGCACCTGTCTCAGAGCTCAGAAGCGTTGCACAAGATATGAATTGTGCAACTTCTGGTATTTCAATCCCCCTTATGAGTTAAGATAAACTTATTACAGTGGGTTAAAGCTATTCTACTAGCTGTTACTCTTAGTGGAGGGACAAGACCCTTTTCTGAGGAAATAATCCAGAGGACATCTGCTTTCCTTACACATCTGTAAGGCTCTGGAGTTTTTTTCCCCTCTCTTTAGATTGATGGCAGGAGATTTTTTTTTTTAAAGGAGGAAGGGAGGAAGAGGAGGAAGAGAGAGTGGCTCAGTACTTCCAGTACCATTCAGAGTTATGTATATTGCACAGTAAAACTAGATGACTGTTCTTTACTGCTTTCACGGCTTAGAAAGTACAGTGAGAGCTAGCACATCACTCCTGTTTAAAAGTATCTTATTTTCTTACTTGTAAGTGTTCCTCTGAAAATAAAACACCTACAGAGCAATGGTTCACCAGATCGTTTTGCTGAAAGTTGTCAGTGCTCTTTAGCAAGCACTTGGTAGTGGAATACATAAAACTGCACCAGATCTTACGATTCCAGAGATTCAGGACCGTTTAACCACAGCCAAGCCTAGAAAGGATGTACCAGCTACCTATTTCAAAAGCCTACCTTAACCTTGTCATGCAGACCCTTGTGTAGGGAAATAGCACCTTCACGTCAGAGGTGAGAAGTCCAGGCTCTGATCAGAGCTATACTTCAACATTAGAGAATGAAGAGCAGCTTAATTTGAGCACAAGTAGCTTTCCCTTGAGACACTGGTGTGCCATTTATAGAAGGTTCTTCAGATCTCAGTGTAGCTTTGGTTATGCCAATCAGGCTAACATGGAAAACTAACACAGGCACAGAAGGTGCAAATACAGACCATCCTTAACCAGCAGAGGAAAGAACTCAAGCATTGTTTTCCTTGAAAAAAATGGTTTATTGTATATTGTGAATATGAAGGACAGCCTTACCAAAAAAAAAACAACTTAGTGATGGAAAACATTTTCATATTTGAAAAGGCTCTATTTACATAAAGGCAGTGAAGGGTAAAAAAAAATATTGCAGTCAATTAATGCCGAATAGAACTTTATAAAAAGAGAAAGAGAAGAAACAGTGCAAAAATACTGTCAAAAGTAATCAGTTCTATACATAAGATAAAACTGACAAGCATAAGCTTATGTACTGATAAGAATAATACATTAAGATATAAAATAGCATGCATAGATTTATTTTTTTTAAAAAAAGGCTTTCAATATCATAGCATAGTTCTGCCATTCATCCCTAACAGGAGATGGGGGGACAGCAGGGGCATGTAATTGATACCCCATTTCTCTACAAAATGTATACATACAGCGAGGGTGTGAGATTCAGATTACTGTTTGAGCTAAACTGTCATGTACAGAATTACAGAACAAATACAACCAAAGCATAAAAATACTGAAGTAAAACAGGACAGTAAAATCCAGTGACATAAAACTTATTTAAACATGTTATTTCATTTAACATGACCCACACAATCGTATGTGGGAATATTACAGTCATCTGCATGTGTAAACTCTTCTCCTTTGTAAAATATCAAAAGAAAGGTACTTAACCAATGAGGAAAACGTGTTTTCCATATGGAGCAATCTCAACAGGGTAAACAACTAACAAACTATTAGCAATGTTTCTGGCACTAAAAAGCTTTTTCTTTTTAATTAAAGATTCCGAGTAGCAGCAAGAAAATACTTTTAACATACACAAAAAGGAAGTTCTTACATATTTATGTATAATTAAGTTGTGGGACTCACCAACATAGGATGTTGTGAAGGCCAGAGGAATAAATGGGTTTAAAAACAATTCATTGAAGATGGAGCTATCAGTGATTTTTAAACACAAAAACTGGGATACATATAAAACTTGGGAAGCCCCTAAATCACTGATTGCCAGCTGTGCTATTGGGACTGAACCCTGTGCTACCTTCAGTTATCTTTCTTCCTTTAGCATCAAATACCAGCCTGTCCTGGAAGAATTTTATAGGAAGCCTTCCTCACTCTCACCTGCCTGATCAGGGACTGCTTCCACTGAAGTGTCTGAGTACAGAGACTCAATCCAAAACACTGACCGTCTTTAAGTACATGATCTAGAAGAAGAAAAACAAAACTTTTAAGCACTAATACTTGAGCAGATCCCTGAAATGAATATAGGTTGTTTGATTTTTGGAAGGTTTTTTCACTGTTAAAAGAGTACTGGGATTCTCCAATGAGAGCTTCTACCCATGACTTCCAGGCCGCTCTCCAAAGGCAAAGCCCCACTACTGCAGCAGGGAAACTCTCAGCTAAGGTGTGCGCAGCTCAAAAGTATCAACACTTCAACAATGACAAAATCATCAGCTGAAAAATGGCTGAGAGGAACCAAGTGAATTTCACTGGTTTTAGAATATCTAACAAAATCTATTTACTTTTAAATATTTATATAAACACTGCTATTTTTAAGCTGCACAGTATTGTTTTGTTTCACAATCTAACAGGAATCTAACAGGAATTTATCTGTGGCTAAGAACTCAGCCTTCTCTTGTTGGCCCAAAAGCCCAAATAACCAACTGTTCCCTTCCTCAAATCACAGTCCTTGGAAGTCAAGGCTACACATGGCTGCATGCTTGATGTCCTCCTCTCTTCTCTCACATGGCAAGAGCTTCCTCAGTTCTGTGAGGAAAATGTTTACAAAAGGCTAAGAATGAGCTGGGGACAGCTGCCTTCAGGATTTTGGCCCTGTAGCCCTTCTTTTGTTGACATCAAAATCCATACTCCACAACTGAACCATACATACAGCAGCAGAACTGTGTACGTTTTTATGGAGTACTTTTATGGAGATTAAGTTTTCATGCAGTGTTTTACCTTGCAAGATCAGTTATGAATATTTGCTCCTTCAGTACGATACACCCTTTATTTCATGAAATGTGTGCCACCCTCGAGTTCCACGTATATTCTTTCCCCTAAAAACAGCAGCACAATTTAACCTCTCAGTGAGGTATGAGAGCTGCTACAGCAGGGATCAGCCATACTGATACTTCTGCTTTTTGAGTGCACAGCTCCTAGACTGTCAGCAAGACTGACAGCAGCTAATTCAGTCTTCATGTCATCTCAGAAAACTGCTGGGAAGTTGGCTGCTGTGAGCAGCACTGTATGGTTTATAACTGCTGAATTTTCCCCACAGATGCCTGCTACCCACAGGTGAGTCTCCTTTCACTCGAAACACTAATTCAAGGAAAAACTACTGCCAGTAGGGCTGAGCATTTGGGGTCGCTGTACACCTATATAATACAAGTTTGTGGGATCAAGCTCTGTCTTACCTCAGCTGACCGAGGACAAGAGGTGCCAAGGAAGGCCTGGGCAGCAGCTGGAGCAAGTAGGACCTGAGCAGCTGATGTACAGCTCCACTGTTCTCCAGCACAGACCATGGAGGACAGAAACTGGATGTCAGCAGTGCTGGGCAGACTGCTGGTGAGCAACTCAACTGTGAGCTCCCATCCTCAACTCAGACAACGTTAAGCATGAAATGCTCTGACCGTAACATTAAGCAAAAATTTGATGCCATCAACCTCAACGCAAACACTGTTATGAGTTTAAAGAAAAAGAAGCTGTTAAATATTGTGAATGAAAATATAGATTAAAAGTGCATGAAAAGGAGAAGACAGAATGAATTCCCAAGTAAGGGTCATCCACTCTGAGCTTTCTCCTAGAAAATAATCCAAGGAGCATAGGCTAAATGTGCCAGACTGCAACATGGGAACCTTGGAGAAGACTGCTGGTTTCCAATCCAAATGTGATTCCATTTTCTTTAAATTGGTGCTTTTTTTTTCTTTTTCAAATAAGATTTTCAATCCAAACTTCACTCAAAATGGATGAAACTGTTCTACTGTAACCTATTCACTGTCACGTTTTAGGGTTAAAAAATATGTGATGCTGCAACCCAAAATTTTCTTCCCCTTGTGCTGAAGAATTCTGCTGTTATGTCTGCGGGCCAGAAACTGAACAGAACTGCTGCTTTAAGTCTGATGGTTTCTCTCCTACAATGACCAATGAAACTGGATACAATACACATTTTCCTGTCACTCCCTAAAGGGTCAGGAAATTTGCCCAAGTGGTTTGGGGCTGATAAAGCTACAACAGGTTGAAGTCAGGAGGTTCGGTTTTTCCCCTACAAAAGTGTAACCCGTTTCAGTAATAAATCATTGGCGTGCTGAGATTCATTTGCAAGCTGGGGTAGGAAGGAACCTCTAAAGACACACACCACCCCAATTCACTGATGATATTAGCAAGCAGATCAAGTCAAGATAAAATACGTCAGGAAAAAATAGACAAGTCAGATGAAAGGGAAAGTTCAAAATTACCGTTCTTTGACAATGAAAGGGAAAAAATGAGTCACGTTGGCTTCTATCTACCACACCAGTCTCAGGAGTTAATTGGAAATGACTGTTTACTATGTGGCCATTTATTTGGCTCATTAATGAGTACTGACTTAATTTGGAAAGGATTTTTGGTGCCATTTCATAATTAATATTTTTCTAAGGCACTTATAATGTGACGCTTGCTTAATTTTCCTTTTAAACACAACTATTTACATTCTCTTATGAAGTAACTTTTTTGTACTGACTGTAGAAACAGTAGGGTGCGTTTCAGCCA